ATGTCCATACACGATATTATCAGAAAATAAGAGCGATATGCATAGTACATTTAAGGCCAAAATATCTACATTTCAATAAAACGTTAGATTGCGGAGAATATTTTCCTAAACTTTTAAGATTATTAAGTAGTTAAAAATTCTACAAAGAAAGGCCCTCACCTCATTTTCTTCCATTATATTTTACAGATAATGTCCCCGTAGAACAACATTAGATTTGTCATCACGCTGTCAGCACGACAACACCTTTAATAAACAGCTATTGTCGGGTTAAATAAATGAATTTCTGCGATATTTTAAACGTAAAGTAAATAATAATTGTTTCAATTCAGATTGATAACAATTTAAATCAGCTAATTTTCCTGAAATAAAGATTCAGAAAAGTATATTTTATTTTCGGAAGAATTTCTAGTAAAGAGAATTATACTACAATAAAGATATTAAATTTAATCTATTAGATTGAAATTAAAGCTAAAATAAAAGCTCCAAGAATGATTTTTCATTTAAAAAAATTCATTTTAAAGCATAGGCATCGCGAAAACACGGAAACAAGAAATGCAATATTTCTAGTCAGAATGATATCAGTGAGTAGAATGCATATGCATAAGCATTTCATAATATAATACGCATATAGATATTTAAACAGCTTGGAAATCGATTTATTAGTGAAATATATTAGTGATGGTTCCAATTCAATCGGGAATGAGATCAAGAACATCATTTCCCCAAATTTGTAGACGAAACACACAAATGCATGCTGGGATTTTTCCTAGCAAATGAGATAGGCCACTTCTCGATATCATCAGGCTTAGTTCTGTTCTTTCTTGTCTTGAAGTTGTAACGTTGCGGTCGCTTGTCTGTATCCTCTTTTGTGTATCGACACCATTTTTAATTTTTGAATTGTTTGCCTTATCACTGTTACTTTGCCTTATTGTTGTTGTTCTGTCTTGCATATATTGTTTGTTCAATATTATTTTAACCTGTTCTTTTAGTTTTTCTCTTGTTGTTCTTTATTGTAAATGTTGTCAATTCTGTTTTTTGGGTATTTCTGCCAATTACATTTAACCATGGCAAATTACTTTTACAATTTGAATAATCCAGAACTTATACTACATGAGGACAGAAAATAAATTCAGCAGATATACAAAAACGAAAAGGGACGCAAGACAAGGATACATCTTCTCAACGGATTTATTTACATCGAAGCAATTTTAAAAGAACTAGTAGTCCTTCCAGGATTTATTATTGGATACGCAATGACACCATGTTGATGGTAAGGTTCGGGTTTATTTTGTTTTACGGCATATCAATCTCAAAGAGATTTAAAGTCTACAAGATTTTTAAATGTCTTTGTTTTTTTATCGGTATATCAACTCCATATGGGTTATTTAATGCCAACAAGATTTTTAGATGTGTTTGGTTTATAGTGGTATATCAACTACTTATAGGTTATTTAATTCCACAATTTCATTTTCTTGGGAGAATTAGTTTTTTTTTCTTTTACAAAGATGTATTGCTGGTATTTTTTTTTCAAAAATGTATTGCTAATATTTTTACTATAAAAATCTATTTCTATACTTTCATATTGCTTTGACCCCAATCTTGAGGTTAACCTTTTTTTTCCTAAAGCTGGGACCCTAACCGGTGCTACCACAGCGTTGATGGTAGACACAAAAAGAAAACAACAGGATGTCCTAAACAAAGTACTCATGGAAAGCAGGAAGAAAGTACTTACGAATAATTGCAAGAAAAGGCAGTGTATGGTTGTCCGCAAGTCGGCATCCAAGGTGCGAGTTGCGAATAGGAGATGTCAAGCTTTTAAAGCAATTATAGAAATGTAAATACGTGGGAAGTGTTATAACAGACGATGGAAAATGTGACACAGAAATCCGAAGGCGCATTGAAAAAGCAAAAGATGCTTTTCAAAAGCTAAGCCATGTATTAAGAAACTGGAAAATCCCGTTAGAAACAAAGAAAAGAAGGTTCAACGGTTATGCTATATCAAAATATGGAAGGGAAACCTACGTAATTTCCTCTCAGTCGAAGAAGAGACTTGATTCATATCCAGATTTACAGAAGAAAGCAAAGAATAATATGGACATATGGGAGCAACGAGAAAGTTTTAAGGAAAATAGAAACATAATGACATAGAATCATAAAGAGACATTGATGATTTTTGGTACCCTCAATGAGGAAAGTCGGTTTTGAGAATTTAACACACACAGTGCATATTGATGTCAAGAGGGTCAGAGAAAACGACGAGTAGCCTACATAATAAGCTTGTGCAAATGGATGACAGAGCATGGACTGGGAGGGACAGAAAGTGGGAAAATTACGCTTAGAGCTACAAAAGATAGGAAGTTGTGGAGAGCCATAGCTGTCTACGTCATAAAGGCTCACGTCACATAATAGGAACAGATTGTCACGGGTCCAGAGTCCCATTGGGGCCGTAGGGACACCGCATGTACTGCAGCCATAGCAGCAGCGATGTACCTAGGGAAAGATAGACTGATGAAGCCCATCTCTCTTCTGGGTGAGAGTCCTGGTTATGAAGATAAACTACATCCGGCACCAAAGCCTCTGATCGGGAGATTGAAGTTTTTGAGGAGCGTGGAACCACCTCTGAATTTCTTTTGTTCACAAGTCGAACCTGGCCCGTTTCGGTCTAGGAGACCATCTTCAGGACATATTCATAAAACATAATTAACATTAGACTATATTCAATTCAACATGAAAAGACGATGAACTGAATATAGTCTAATGTTAATTATGTTTTATGAATATGTCCTGAAGATGGCCTACTAAACCGAAACGTCCGACGTTGATATTATATTAACATTAAAACAGCATAATTGCATATTAGGATTTTTGTTTGTTTTTCCGTATATTTTTCTTCATAATGTAGGATCTATATCCATATATTTGCTTACATACATACACACACATATATATATATATATATATATATATATATATATATATATATATATATATAAAGGGTCAACATTACATACAATACATTTTATCTGTAGTTGAAGGCTTACAGTGGGTTCAAAATATTTAGATTTCATTATTAAATAACCCATATCGGTTGGTATGTTGCTACCCAAATTCATCCAATATCTTCGAGTTGTTATGAATTCAAAAATTTCTTTCTCCTGGTCTAGTTAGTCCAGATGAAGGCAGGGTAGTCCATTCAGTCCTGTTATGTGGCCCATAGCTGCGGGCAGAGTATATGGATTAATACCTTTCCCGGTGATATTTCAGTCCTGGGTATGACAATAAACTACATCCACGTCCTGGGTAAGACGATAAAATATATCCAACAGCAAGGCTTCTGATTAGGTGGTTTTGAGGATCGTGGAACCACCTCTTAATTGCTGGTGTTTCCAGGTCCACCCTGACCCGGGGTGGTAGCACTTGATGGGTCCCAGCAATAGGCAAATGGGGTCACCCCCCCAACCTGGGGTCAAAACACTATGAAAGTGTAAAAATAGGTTTTAACACCAGCAATGCATTTTCGTAAAAGATTATTACCAGCAATACATTTTTTTTTAAAAAAATATTACCAGCAATGCATTTTCGGAAAAAATTATTACCAGCAATACATTTTTTTGAAAAAAAAAATTAGATATGAAATACAATTAAGCATGTTTTTTGAAAAAAAATATTACCAGCAATAAAATCCTTGTCGACATTAAATAATCCATTGAGGTTGATATGCCGTAAAACAAACCAAATCAAACCAAACCAAACCAAACCAAACCGATGATATTTGGGAAAGAGTGAACTTAAAGAATGCGGTCGGGATTCTAAATCTGTGTTGACATCCATGAAACAATCCACACATCCATGCGAAAATAAAGGTTCGTCCAAATAAAGTTTCTGCGGAAAAAGTTCCTTGCTATGAATGAAATTGATTAAAATTAACCAATAACTAGTCTGAATTAGTGAAGATGATAAATTTATTTACTTATCAACAACATTGAGATTTTAAATTATTGCATTAGAAATTCCTTCCTTTGTATGGAAAACCATTTTATTTTCCAAGACAGCTAGCCAAGGTCGATTTCCGTGAAACTTTCTAGACTACGGGCGCATACTGAGTGCGTATATTGAACGCTAGGCTAACAACAAAATTCCTTTCTGTAAATAATGTTTTAATCGTCTCCACAAATGTTAAAAAAATAACAACAACAAGAAGGGGAGAAAATCCTTGTGTCCCCCGCATTGGGCTAAACATCTCCAAACAATGACAGAGTATTAGAAACAAACCCGGGTTGGTGAGGTTTCAGAAGACGAGGCTGGGGGAAAATGTGGATAGAAGGGAACAAAAAGAGAAAAAAAAAAGAGTTGGAGGGGGGGCAAGGGTAAGTTTTGTTCAATATTCTTTAAGTTTGTCGCTGTCTGTCTTTTGTTAAGAAAGGTGGGGACGAACAAAAGGAAGATTCGCAGTTAATAAGAAAGAAGAATGGAAGGAAGACGAACGAGACGATGCTTGAAAAAGGAAAAGGATCCTCATTCTATTAACGAAATACCTTTTTAAATTGCTAATCTAATGCATTTGTCAGTCCTCTATTGCCTGTCGTGCGATAACCAATCCAGCGCTGCCACACCCATGACCTGTAACACCTCCTACTTTCCGCCAACACTCCCGGCTCTGTATCTTTCAAATTGACCTGTACGGCACCATATCTTAGCCCGGGGCACGTCGTCATCCGTCTAACTAACTCACAGAAACCTAATTAGTATTATATTCATGGCGGTCCTAGAAAAAACCTTTTATATTTCTGATCCGAGCATCTAATAACTCACTTGTTTAAAATCATATTCTTTTTGTGGCTTTCCCTCCCATTTTTGGCTACCAGATATGAAATACAATTAAGCATGTTTGAGCGGACAGCTGTAAACTAGGTATTTGATGCGGCCTGTCCAGGTCCGCTTAGCAAAATCACATCACACAGGCGAGTAGTTGCAACACAGACACGCATGCGCGCAGGCCTCTAAGCCTGCTTGCCTTCACTCTTGAGGCGCGAAATCACAGCGAAAACTGTCTTCTTGAATGGAGAGCGGAAATGGGGCGAAGATGGCGGTAAGACAACGAAGAAAATGAGAAAGGGAACATGAAGATGTATGAAACGTCGGCGGACGAAAACAGTGCCGAAAAGAGGAAAGAATTTAGGGTAAATTAAATAGATATCTTTTTGGAAAATTACGAATAAAACATACCGCCGAAGAAAAAAAAAATGTAAGAAAGAGGGGATATTGTGGGTTGGCTGTAGAAGATGTGGATTCGTCAGTACATACGGAATGAAAGAAAAATATAAATATTTTGTAGTAGGAGTAGGAAAATACTCCGTGTCGTTATAATTGTTTGTCTTCCTATTCAATGAAGTCGATATAGGCAAATATTTAATTTGCGTTTGTGGAAATAGGTGGGTATAGAATTCCTTCTTGGATGATATTAACGGAAAGGACTTTCGGTTCAATTGGGTTGGGTCGCCTTGGGTTGTGTGAGAGGATTTTAAGACAGATAAACTCTTGGGTTATTCAATATCGAAATCTATTTTTTTCTTTATGATATTTAGGTTTAGAATTAATATATATATATATATTATAAATTAATTGATTTAAAATATGTTTTTTTCGCTACACAGTTCTAACCATGTTTCAAAAATAGAAGCTAAAAGCCCCGAATTTAATTTTGCAATTAAATTAAAAGCATTAGTTCCATTTCATTCTCAAGCGAATTAAATTCGGGGCTTTTAGCTTCTATTTTTGAAACATGGTTAGAACTGTGTAGCGAAAAAAACCATATTTTAAATCAATTAATTTATAATATTAATGCTCTGTAAATTTACATTGAGCACTATTTTGTAAAATAAAAAATATCTATAAGAACACCGGATTTTATATCTTACTGTTCTTTTTTCATATATATATATATATATATATATATATATATATATATATATATATATATATATATATATATATATATTTATATATATATATATATATGTTTATATATATATATATATATATATATATATATATATATATATATATATAACATTTTATATTTGAGACTATAAGTAAACGTTGATTAAGTATATACTTGAGACTGCTTAAGGCCTCATTACGTTGTTCGCCGAAATTAAGCAACATCGAGTCTGGTCGGAACCTGGATGGGTGACCGCTTGGGAATAACAGATGTTCTGATCTTGGACGTGCCGGTAGTGTAATGGATAATGGCTCGAACTAAGAAATCGAAGAGCCAAGTTCGAATTCCAGTCGGGTTCGTTACATTCACTTACCCGTAAATATCCTTATGCGATCGTGAATCGTAAAGAGACATGATTGCCCAAACCTGTCATATTCGCTCTCTACCAACCCGCATTGGACCATTGCGGTAGGGTAATGGCTCATTAATCCCCATGAATCCGGAAGGATCTTCGGCCAACAAAGGACCTTCACAGACCAAGAGGAAGAAGAAAAATATTTATTGGCAAAGATTTGTCGAGTTTATATTTAAGTCTGTAGGGATACTTTAGCTCCGTTTATATTTGTGTCTAAAAGGTTTATACATGAGACTATAGATAAAAAATGGTTGTGTATGTTCCTAGGTACACATTGGTCAGGTTAATATTTAAAGCTATAACTAAATATTGCTTGTGACTTGAATATATAGGTAAACATCCACTATTTGAGTCTATAGGTAAAGATTGGTCGGGTTTATATTTCTGCCTATAGGTAAATTTTGGTCGTGTTCATACTTGAGTCTATAGGTAAAGGTTGTTCAGCTTTATACTTGAGCCTATAGGTAAACATTGGTCGGGTTTATACTTGAGTCTATAGGTAAACATTGGTCGTGTTTATACTTGAGCCTATAGGTAAACATTGATCGGGTTTATACTTGAGTCTATAGGTAAACATTGGTCGTGTTTATACTTGAGCCTATAGGTAAACATTGGTCGTGTTTATACTTGAGTCTATAGGTATACATTGTTCGGGTTTATATTTGTGCCTATAGGTAAACATTGGTCGGGTTTATACTTGAGACTATAGGTAAACATTGGTCGAGTTTATACTTGAGTCTATAGGTAAACATTGGTCGGGTTCATACTTGAGACTATAGGTAAACATTGGTCGGGTTTATATTTGTACCTATAAGAAAAAAAAAACATTGATCCTCTTTATACTGGAGTCTATAGGTAAACATTGGTTACTTGGGTTTATTGGTAAGCATCGATTTCTTGAGTAAGCATTTGCCCTGTTTATACTTGAGTCTCTATGAAAATATTGGTCATTTAGGGGGGGGCTCTTTTGGATAGTCGGTCTTGTTCCACTGAAAGGGATGCAGTCAGCATATTTTACCTCCACCGACAGAGCGAACTAATTTTGGAATGTTTGTAAAATACAATACTTACAATATGAGAAAGAGTAAATATGTACGCGTTTGCAATTGTCTTTTTCGCGTACTTCATATAAGATGAACTTGTGTGGAACAAGAGGGGAAATAAGAAAAGGTAATTTGCCAGTCTTCTCAAATAACAAGTTTGTGAAGAATTTAATTACTTGGACAAAGAATTAAACTTCCTTTGAAATTAAACGGTTTCAATTTCCTGGTAATTAAATACCGCTTGAAATTCTTAGAGGGTTTCGCGTTTGTTATTGACAAGGCTTAATTTTGACAACCATAACAGTAGGTAACCCAGGCAAATCAATCAAATTCTGCTATCTGACGCCTTTGTAATAAAAAAAAAGTGTTGAACACAAGGCGATGTTTTTTTTTATCAAATTTAACCCAAGCAAGGCAGAAAAGCCACTAAAACACAAGGGGTTACTGGGTATGAGGGAATTAGAAGACAGAAACGTTATTAAAGAACAAAGACAATAGAAGAACAATCGTAGATAATGATTGATAGTTCATTAAGTTTTTAGAAGAGCAAAGTTGGTTAGAAGAAAGTTCCACAAGCGAGAAATAAGCTGTAAAGAAAAAGGCCGAGAGAAGAAACTGTTAGCATAGAACTTACGGTTACATCTAGCTAACTGAACTGTAAATTGGTGAGACCTTGCCCCCAATCTAATACTGAGCTTAAAGACATAAAAATCTTTGTTATCCTGACAGTATATTTTTTAGATCGAGATCATCACAAGCAAGGCAGTAAAACCACTAAGAAGCAAGGGGTTTACTCGGTGTGTAAGAAATAAAAAAAATGGAAATATTACTTAGGATCGAAAACAAAAGAAGAGGAATCGGGAGGACAGTAGACAGCGATTGTCATTGCATTTAAAATTTTTCAGATTAAATATGGCTGGAAAGCATGGAGTCTGAACAGAGTTCCACAAGAGAGAAGTGCGGGAAAAGAAACTGTTAGCATAGAATTTAAGCTTTCATCTAGCCAGTGCGGGTAGACGTAAGCAGATTATTAAGAGAGAGAAAACCTTCGTTAGAAACGAAGAAAAGAGTATTGAACTGTTACCTGATGACATATGTCCTCCTATATGGCAGTGAATACTGGGAAATCTCCTTAAAGATGAAGGAAAAACTTAAAGCAACTGAAATGTGGTTCTACAGAAGGATGTTGAGGATAAGATGCACCAAACATTTGAGCAACGACAAGTTTTTAGAGAAAATGGGAACAAAACGGAAACTTATAATTAACATCAAGAAGAGGCAGTTGAAATTTTTTAGGGCACATAACGAGGAAGAAGGGCTTGGAAAATCTGATACTCATAGGTAAGATTGATGGAAAGAAGGACAGGAGAAAACAGCGCAAAAAGATAAAGCATATTAAGAACTACAAGGGAAAAGAAGATGTGGAAGGCCATGATTGTCTATGTCCTGAAGGGACACGGTATATAAAAGAAGAAAACGATATTTTGAGGGAATATTGCAGCTAGCTACATCATATCACGCCATCGCTGAGCGAAGGGCTCCCTAGACTACAGTCAGTGACCATGGTCAAGGGTTCCACCGATAGAGTCAACGGCGAGCCTTCAAGATGGTGGACATTGCTGTGGTTTTGACACTGGGATGAACGAGCTTCGCCAGGTATTCTTACCTGAGTCACGCTATTGATGTGCAACGTGTCTTCGGCAAGGGCAAATGAAACTTTTTCCGGTTTCTGGTCAGGCACCCAGCAGTGGCGCGACCCCCAAAACACTAAGGCCGCATTATAGAACTGATGGTAAATACGATGATGATGACCTTATGAACCACTGAATAATTTACGACTTAACTTGAAAAACACCAAGCATTGGTCTAATTTTAAATGAATGAACTGTCAAGACCAGAGTTCCTCAACCAATGGCCATGTAGCTAAAATGGGCAATCAATTACCAATTCCAGGTGGTCAGTAGAAATTTTATAATTTTTACTGGTCCACCAGGCTAATATATGAGCCACAGATTATGGGTCACAAAATGGAAGTAATTTTTACACTATAATAATTTTAGAGGCCGCAGAAATATTCTGGGTTTAAGGTGGGCCATGGATTAAAAAAGTTTGGGAACTACTTTTCCAGACGCCAGAAGCGGTATGGGAGGTAGATTTTGTGATGTCAACGAATACTCATTGCCACTTTTGTAATGTCAACGAATACTGGTTGTCACTTTCGTAAAGTTCGTTGTAGTAGAGACTTTGTAATCACAGATACAACTATAGTAACGTCGTTGAACAATGCTGGTGCCAGACGCCTTCGAATAACTCTCGCACTAAAAGTACTTACTTGATGATACTCGCTCGAAAGTAACCACCACATAGTGATCTGAATAGAAAAATAGTATAGTAAATAGAGTAGAGAATAGCGGTCCGTATAGTAATAGATAATAGAAAAGAAATGGCGAACCGAATAGTAATAGAGGATAGAATAGAAATGGCGATCCAAATAGTAATAGAGGATAGAATAGAAATGTCGATCCGAATAGTCATAGAGGATAGAATAGAAATGGAGATCCGAATAGTAATAGAGGATAGAATAGAAATGGCGATCCAAATAGTAATAGAGGATAGAATAGAAATGGCGATCCGAATAGTAATAGAGGATAGAATAGAAATGGGGATTGGAATAGTAATAGAGGATAGAATAGAAATGGCGATCGGAATAGTAATAGAGGATAGAGAAGAAATGGCGATCCGAATAGTAATAGAGGATAGAATAGAAATGGCGATCGGAATAGTCATAGAGGATAGAATAGAAATGGCGATCCGAATAGTAATAGAGGATAGAATAGAAATGGCGATCCGAATAGTAATAGAGGATAGAATAGAAATGGCGATCGGAATAGTCATAGAGGATAGAATAGAAATGGAGATCCGAATAATAATAGAGGATAGAATAGAAATGGCGATCCGAATAGTAATAGAGGATAGAATAGAAATGGCGATCGGAATAGTCATAGAGGATAGAATAGAAATGGAGATCCGAATAGTAATAGAGGATAGAATAGAAATGGCGATCGGAATAGTAATAGAGGATAGAATAGAAATGGAGATCCGAATAGTAATAGAGGGATAGAATCCGAAAATGGAGATCCGAATAGTAATAGAGGATAGAATAGAAATGGCGATCCGAATAGTAATAGAGGATAGAATAGAAATGGAGATCCGAATAGTAATAGAGGATAGAATGGAAATGGGGATCGGAATAGTAATAGAGGATAGAATAGAAATGGCGATCCGAATAGTAATAGAGGATAGAATAGAAATGGGGATTGGAATAGTAATAGAGGATAGAATAGAAATGGCGATCGGAATAGTAATAGAGGATAGAATAGAAATGGAGATCCGAATAGTAATAGAGGATAGAATAGAAATGGGGATCGGAATAGTAATAGAGGATAGAATAGAAATGGAGATCCGAATAGTAATAGAGGATAGAATAGAAATGGCGATCCGAATAGTAATAGAGGATAGAATAGAAATGGTGATCCAAATAGTAATAGAGGATAGAATAGAAATGGGGATCGGAATAGTAATAGAGGATAGAATAGAAATGGCGATCGGAATAGTAATAGAGGATAGAGAAGAAATGGCGATCCGAATAGTAATAGAGGATATAATAGATATGCAGATCTGAATGGTAATAGAGGATAGAATAGAAATGGCGATCCGAATAGTAATAGTGATCCGAATAGAAAGAAAAGGCAAGAAAGAAATGAATAAAGAAAGGGAAGAAGAAAGAAAGAAAGAAGCAAGAAAGAAATGAAGAAGGAAGGGAAGAGGAAAGAAAGAAAGAAAGGGAAGAAGAAGAAAGAAAGAAAGAAAGAAAGAACGGGAAGAAGAATAAAGAAAGAAAGAAGCAAGAAAAATGAATAAGAAAGGGAAGAAGAAAGAAAGAAAAACTAAAGGGAAGAAGAAAGAAAGAAAGAAAGAAGCAAGAAAGAAATGAATAAGAAAGGGAAGAAGAAAGAAAGAAAGAAAGAAAGGGAGATAGAATGAAAGGAGGAAAGAATAAAGTGATAGAAAAAGAGATGAGAAAGAAAAGCAAGAGGAAAGACAAACTTTTACAGATAAAGATTCACATAGAATGTGAACAAAATGAGATCTGAAAAGACGAAGGATGAAAGGCAGAAAGAAAGAAAAAGAAAGAAAAAAAGACAGAGAGAAAAAAAGACGAAATGAACCAAGAAATAAATGAAGAAAGGAAGACCAAATGTAAGAAAGAAACGAAGAAAGAAAGAAAGAACGAATGAAGTAATGAAAGAAAAAAAAAAAAGAAAGAACGAAAAAGAAAACGTGAGAAAAATTAAAAATTCGAAGATATGAAGAAAGAAAGAAATTATATAAAGCGGCTATCACTGATAAAGAGATACATGGAATATAAACAGAGCAAGAATAACTAGGAAAGAATATAGGCACCAAAGAAGAGAATGTATAAGAAAAATGGTGGAATAGAAAGATTAAATAAATTAACGAATGAACGAAAATATCCTTTAAAAATGAGTGAATTGACAGAAAAAAGGTGCAAAAAAATCCAATGATTTCCAAGAATAATACCCTTTCAAAAAAAAATAAAAATAAAAAAATTTCAGAAAAAAGGGAAGAAAAGGTAGCGGCGATTTGATTGGCCATTAGATTGGCGACATTCCAGTGTGTTCTTTGTCTGAATCTTGTGTTCGCAGCTGCGTTCAAGCGGAAAAGTAATAGAAAAATGGTTTTGGGACGAAATCAACGCCAGTAAAAAAAAAAAATAAATAAAAAATAGAAATATAAGAAGCATTGATGAATGCGACACGAAAGACAAGGAACAACGAATGTCGAAGAAGAATAGTCAAGAATTTAAGACATAGCTCATCTGTTAAAGATGGCGCTTTCTTTATAGAAGACAACAACTTGGAAAAGAGTTTTCTTTTTAGTCAAAAATGACAAACTGTGTGAGAACAAAGGTAAACAGAAACCTGAATCGCACCTCTTTCTTGTTCTCGTTCTTCATCTATCTATATCTATCTATCTATACATACATATATATATATATATATATATATATATATATATATATATATATATATATATATATATATTCTGTTTATACGTTATTCTGCAAGATATACTTTATTTTAGTAAATGCTCTGTTTTAATTAAACGTATTAATTACATTTACCGTCTGAATGTTGGAAAAATTTCGCAGAAAATATGCGCTCTCCAACAGCAATCGAACCTGTAACCATTATATAGCCTGTCGTGCTGTTACCATTAGGCCACAGAGAAGCGTCTGGCTATCGACGTCCGAATTACTGTTTCTAAACACACAACTTCGACGATTTTTCTCGATCGATCATTTCTTCTCGCGAAACATATCTTAACGTAAACAATGACAACATTACGAAATAGATTAAATCCGACAATTATTTACTATGTTTTCTGTTTATACGTTATTTTCATAGAAATAATTTAAGTACATGCTCTGTATTTTAATTAAACAGTATTAATTACATTTTCCTGTGACTGAATCGTAACCGTACGTCAGGCTATATGATGGTTTTCATAAGGGTGAAAAGTTCGAAGAGGCACATAAGATATTTTCCATTAAAATTTAAATTATGTAACAGTCTCTACCCAGCACCTGATGATTGCGTTGTGCATGAAACTCCGAGTCACGCTACTTGTGAGGTATTATTATATATATATATATATATATATATATATATATATATATATATATGTATTGTTATGGTCTGGTTCCTTGTACCACAGTGATAGTCCAAGGTAGAACCAATAAAGAAGAACTCGAAGGCGGATATGGAATAACACAGATATATTACAAACAGGAATATATACAGAGAGGTAGAAAGTGTTAGCACGAACAATCAGGTTTAGTAGTAATTGTCTGAACGCGACTCTGTTTCGGACTGCCTCTGAATCGACTGACTGACTCCTGACGGACTTCACTCCAGACTACAGACTGAACTCTAGACTTCAGACGCAACTACCTGCTTCCTCTTGAGGCGCAGTATTTATTACGTATGGAATAGTCCCTTATGTTCTTATGGGTAAGGTCCCATAACATATATATATATATATATATATATATATATATATATATATATATATATAGATATATAGATATATATAGATATATAGATAGATAGATATAGTAATGCTAATATTAGAAGTTTCCTTATGAAGAAACATTCGGCATTCCTTGACTGAGCAGCCAGTACTACTGCCGGTTGAAATTCATAAAATCTTTCTCTTAAAACAATTTTTTCAGGAAAATAAGTTTCTCAAGGCCAGTACCTGTTATCACTTTTTCTAGTGTTGATGGGGGATTTCCTTCCTGAGCTTTTGTTTGAAATAGTGTGGAATGTCAACATCTTGATTATGTCATTATTTTCTCTTCGATTTACATATGATATCCATTTTAGTTGTTGTCGAAAGGCCTCGTGTTATGGTTTCTGTTATTTGGTACAGTTCTTTATTTGTGATTCTATAACGCCAATGTTTCTTATTCCTATAAATGTTATACTAAGTGGGTACAGGTGTGTTAGTAGATAACACTGTGTTAAATCAGTTCAAAGATTGAATGATTTATTTAAACATTGATAATATACCTGTTTATAAAAACAGGAATGCCTAGTCAAATACGCCTGCCCATGTGTTTTAATGTTTTTCTTAGATCCTTTCACATTCTGTAACCCCTCCCTTGTTTGTTAGTGGCTTTGTTGCCTTGATGGGATGAAATGATTGATAATAATAAAACAAAACATTTTTTCTTCTTATTCTAAAATATTATTTATATATATATATATTATAAAATATTTATTTATATTATTATATAACGTTCAGAATAATAAGAAATTGATTTTTTTTTAAATAATTTCACCGCAAGCAAAGCAACAAAGTCACTAACACGGAGGTGGTTACAGATTGTGTAAGACTAGAAGAAAAACATTATTATTAAGGGGATACATTATAGTGTGTCTAGAGTTCATAGATGAACACGACTAAAATGTGCAGAGAGTGTCTGAAAAAAAAAAAAAAAAACTCTAAAAAATAAACGAAAACATTCCTATAACTTTCCATACGCACAAACAAAATCCATACATTCAGTTAAAAATAAAAATGAAAACCAGCCTTAATAATGGCTAAAAGAATAGCCGAAATCGCTCGGATATGCAGACGATTTAGACAATTTTTACACACTTCATGTCCAGAAAAGAAATCACTTATACGAACACAGTAAAAACTTTAAATAAAAAGCTTAACCCCAGTACCTTCCCAGTCACACACACACACACACACACGTGTATGTGTGTGTGTGTGTGTGTGTGTGGGTGTGTAAAAAACCTAGTGAGTCAGAACCTACGTACCAAGGTATCACCTAACGGATCTTCAGGGTACTACTGAGCCAAAGTATAGATAAAAAAATATATATATATATATATATATATATATATATATATATATATATATATATATATATATATATATATCACTACCACACACTGAACATACACAGAACACACACACACTCTACTAAGCTGATAATCGAATCATCCTTGATAATGGCTAAAGGTATCGCCGAAAGCGCTCGGAAAAACAGAACATTCGGACAGTTCTTACACACCCTTTGTCCAGAAAAAAAAGCTCTTGTCAGAACACAAGAAAAATTAAATAAAAAGCTCAACCGTAGTACCTTGTCTGTCGTTTTTAATGAAACATGCATATATATATATATATATATATATATATATATATATATATATATATATATATATATATACTCAAAGGTGCACTAATAATTCAGTAACCTTATGATGAAAAAAAGGTATTTATTTTACACAATAAATATCTATTTTCAGCACAATCAATGCCATTTAATTTAAATTTTAGATAATAACTACGTATGAGGCTATGGATTTATTTATTCACTCTCATTGCTTTAATTCTTTTGTGTTGCTTTAATTCATTTTCCTCTTCCTCACCTCTTTCTCTCTCACTTTCTCTCTCTCTCTCTCTTTGTGACTCTTTCTCTTTTCCTTTGTGTTCATCTTTCTTTGAATCGTTCTCTTTTCCCTTTTTTTTTTCATTAACCATTTCTTTTCTCTCTCTCTCTCTTCTGTCTTTTCGTTTGTTTTTTCTTCATCTAATTGTTTCTTTCTTCTTCCGCCCCCAGATCCCTTCTCCGCTTTTCTTACCGTTCCCTCTCTCTGAATCCCTTTCAGATCATAACACCATCGCCATTCCCCACCTATAATCTCTTTCTCCTTTCTCTCCACCCACCCATACACCGCGTTCCAATCATGCTACACCTATTTTTATTATATTAATTCCAATTTTTCGCTATTCATAATTTACTTGTTAGGATGAAAAACAATTTTACAGTTTATCATCCTAGACCAGTGACAGCGGGAGATTGTCTGCTTATGACTAAGACTGACAAAGGTCTCTCCTAATCGGCCTTTCATCTTTTGTTTGCTTTATACCACGTTGATTTTGCGCCTAGGTATATTTACCCGGCCTCCCCACTGAGACAGGATGTGACACAAGGTCGTTTTTACGTGGGGAACCCATACACATACATATACAGATGGGACAAGGACAGAAATTACCCAGTCCCCATGAACGCTCTCACGCTGGCGTCGATATTACACTGACACCACACCTCTTAGTGCAATGGGGAAGGTACTGACGCAGGATTGGAATCCCCAGGACAAGACGCTTTCGGTTTGGTTTGTTTTGTTTTACGGCATATCAACATCAATGGGTTATTTAATGCCAACAAGATTTTTATTACTGGTAATACTTTTATTAAGAAATGTATTGCTGGTAATATTTTTTCCTTCAAAAATGTATTGCTGATAATATTTTTTTCCTTCTGGTAAATTTTTTCAAAAATATTTCTGGTAATATTTTTTTCCAGAATATATTGCTGGTAAAATTTTTTCAAAAAAGTTTTGCTGGTAATATTTTTTCTTTCAAAATTTATTGCTGGTAATATATTTTTTTCAAAAATGTATTGCTGGTAATATTTTTACACAAATGTATTGCTGGTAATATTTTTCAGAATAATTTATTGCTGGTAATATTTTTTTTTTCGAAAAAAGTTTTGCTGATAATATTTTTTCCTTCAAAAATGTATTGCTGGTAATATTTTTTCTTCCAAAAGTATTTTTTCAGAATTATTGCTGGTAATAATTTTTTCAAAAAGTTTTTTTTTGTATTGCTGCTAATTTTTCTTCCAAAATTTATTGCTGGTAATATATTTTTTTTTCAAAAAATGTATTGCTGGTAATCAGTTTTTACACAAATGTATTGCTGGTAATATTTTTCTTTTTAAAAAAATTGTACTGTTGGTAATAATTTATTGCTGGTAATATTTTTTACAAAACGTATTGCAGATATTAAAACCTATTTTTACACTTTCAAAGTGTTTTGACCCCAGTTTAGGTCTTAACTATTTACCCGTAGCTGGGACCCTAACAGGCGCTACCACCACGGGTTAGGGTAGACTTGGGAACACCAGCAATTAAGAGGTGGTTTCACGCTCCTCAAAACCTCCTGATCAGAGGATTTGCTGTTGGATATAGTTTATCCAAGACGTGGTTGTAGTTTATCGTCATACCAGGACG